AGTGAACCAGCAGATGGAAGACCTCGCTCTGTCTCTACCTCTCTCTTTAACTTTCAAATAAATAAAATAAATCTTTAAAAAAAAAAAACAAAATAATTATGAGGTGTCTTGCTTAGGCTTTTTAAAAAAGGAAATAACTTGTTTCCATGACAGCCAAGAACTGTGTGATAGAAATGGGGGGAAAATGGGACTCGGGTATCTATTATTAGAAAACACCTCCTCAGTTGTTTAGGCATAGATACTCTTCTGGAAAGAAACGGCATCGACCTTTGTATTAAATGTCATTCTTCATATCTGATCCAACTGAGGCCTGTCTGACTAGGTGGTCTGGGGGTACGGGGGAAGCCAGTGTACACTTTGCTTGCTGGTGAGACCGGGACACCCGTGGGCTTGCACAGCACTGTGAGCTCGTGGCCAGGGCTGCTGCCAGGTCCTGCCCTGGGCTCCTGCCTTTCTCACCCTCCATGCCTCCCTTCCCTCACACTGCCCTTCTCACTCGTTATCTTTTTCCCTCCTCCTCGCCTGTCTGCCCTCACACAGCCCCTCTCTAACCTCCTCTTCCCTTCTCCGTCTCGCCAGACTTCCTTCATAGGCTCTTCCTCTCTTCCTTGCAAAAGGAGGACCCAGGGGCCAGGCAGGCTGGATGGAGCCATGGGGAACACCTGGGCGGGCTGTGGCTGCCCTCTCTTCATAGCCCGTGCCAGGGCATCCTTAGTGTTTACTGCAGTCCTGCAGAGGCTTTGGGGAACCACGGTCCTATAAGCAACTCTCTTCTACGGTCTCAGGCAAGTCAGTGCTGGCTCCAAGCCTGCACACCCCGTTTATACAAGTGTCATGATTCACTGGGCTCACTAACCTCCTAGGCAGCTGGAACAACAAGCTGTTGTCTCTTAATTTAGCCATGCCCTGAGGTCTATCTCCCAACCCACACCATGTGGCTTCAAAATATCCCCACCATCCTCAAACAGAATTCTCTCTGACAGCACTTCTTGTCAATTCAGTCTTCCCCATCTCGTTATGTTTCCGGGGAAGTCTTGGGTGCCTTCACAGGCCATGTCCCAGGCAGATGCCCAGACTGGCCTCCCCTTAAACCAGGCTTGCCCAGAGTGCGGTCTGTCCAGCATGGTTCCCTTGTCTGCATTCCTGCAAGCGGGTCTGCTTGCCCTTCTTCCACAGGGACTGTGCTCCAGCTTTTCCCTTCTATGCTTCCCCCCGGCCCCCACGTCTGCTCCTCTCAAACCTCTGGCCCTTATTGATTCCTGGTGCTGCCTGAGACTCCCGCTTTCTTTCCTTTTTTTTTTTTTTTTTTTGACAGGCAGAGTGGACAATGAGAGAGAGAGACAGAGAGAAAGGTCTTCCTTTATCCGTTGGTTCACCCTCCAATGGCCGCGGCGGCCGGCGTGCTGTGGCCGGTGCACCACGCTGATCCGATGGCAGGAACCAAGTACTTCTCCTGGTCTCCCATGGGGTGCAGGGCCCAAGCGCTTGGGCCATCCTCCACTGCCCTCCCGGGCCACAGCAGAGAGCTGGCCTGGAAGAGGGGCAACCGGGACAGAATCCGGCGCCCCGACCGGGACTAGAACCTGGTGTGCCGGTGCCGCAAGGCAGAGGATTAGCCTAGTGAGCCGCGGCGCAGGCCCACTCCCGCTTTCTACCACCACATGACTAACATACCTTTTAACAGATTTAAGGCACCTTCTCAGCGCAGCCTGGGTGAATTCCCAGTCTGTAGGTGACAGGTAGTTTGCAGCACAGCCAACTACTGCTCTTCCCTTTTCCCACCACTATACAGCAATCAAACAACCTGTCTATCATCAAGGTCATAGGCAACCTTCAGATTCTGTCCATAAAAGTAATCAGATTATATATTAATATTAGGATAGGAACTATGTCAATATTATTGAAATATGTTTAATACATAAAAAGTCATACATGGATTATAACTAAATAAACATTATTTTTAATAAAAAGTTTGTATTTTTACCCTAGAAAAAGTAGAAACAAATTTGGAAATATGTAAATGGAACAATTAAATTGTTGAAATGCTTTTAAAGAAATGAATCTAAATATATACATTCAAATGACTTTTACCTACTTCATATTAAACCTGGAAATCCAGGTTATTTCAATGATTTTTTTTTTTTTTTTTATAGGCAGAGTGGACAGTGAGAGAGAGAGACAGAGAGAAAGGTCTTCCTTTTGCCGTTGGTTCACTCTCCAATGGCCGTCACGGCCAGTGCGCTGCAGCCGGCGCACCGCGCTGATCCAATGGCAGGAGCCAGGTGCTTCTTCTGGTCTCCCATAGGGTGCAGGGCCCAAGCACTTGGGCCATCCTCCACTGCACTCCCTGGCCACAGCAGAGAGCTGGCCTGGAAGAGGGGCAACCGGGACAGAATCCAGTGCCCCGACCGGGACTAGAACCCGGTGTGCTGGCGCCGCAAGGCGGAGGATTAGCCTAGTGAGCCACGGCGCCGGCCTCAATGATGTTACTCTACCAGCTTATAAGACTTCTGGAATTCCTTTTCTAAAATGGTCTTCAAAGTCAGTTTGGTAGACAGTGAAAAAATCAAGACTCGATTGTAGTCATCTTAAATCATTATTTTTTTATAATTCTTGTTATCAAAACCAAAAAGAGCTCTAGCTAACCTGATCATTCACTTTGTGTACTAACCTAGTTGTCAAATAGCTTTATATTTACTTTTATCTGCTCTTAGAGGATATCTTTTTTTTTTTAATTTGAAAGGCAGAGTTACATTGACATAGAGAGAGAGAGAGAAAGAAAGAGAGAGAGAGAGAGAGAGGTATCTCCTATTCAGTGGCTCACTCCCCAAAGGACTGAAATGGTGGGGGTTGGGCCATGCTGAAGTCAGAAACCAGGAGTATCATCTGGGTCTCCAACATGGGTGTAGGGGCCAAGCACTTTGGACTGTTCTCCACTGCTTTTCCCAGGTGTGTTAGCAGGGAGATGGATCAGAAGTGGAGCAGCTGGGAGTCAAACTGGCACACACATGGGATGCTGGCATTACAGGTGACACCTTAACCCACTATGTCACAATGCTAGTCAGCAATGATGCCATTATTGAAAAATAAACATGCTAGTGACACTAATTTCAAAATATATTAAATAATGACCAGATACTAAGTAAAAATAAACAGTTTTCTGGAATAGAAACTTTGAAGGTAGCAACATTCAATGGATGTATAAATTCTGTTATTTTTGTATGCAAATTAGCAAGAGCATTTGCTGATATGCGTTCTGATCAACTCTTTTTTTTTTTTTTTTTTTAATTCACTCTCCAAATGACTGCCACATCTGGACTAGGCCAAAGTCAGGAGCTGAGATCACAATCCAAGTCTCCCATGTGGGCAGCAGGAACCTAATTACTTGTGCCATCACTGCTATCTCCCAGTCTGTACCAGTAGGAAGCTGGAGACAGGAGCCAAAGCCAGATACCAAATCAAGGCCCTCCAATATGTGGCACAGGCCATCCTAGCTACTCACTAGGCTAAATGCTCACTGCTGAACAAGTTCTTGATGGTAACACACAGAAACAGAAATTAGACTGATTGTCAGGGCCTGGATGGAGGAAGGGGAAGGCGTTATTTAATGGCATAGAGGAAAATGTTCTGGAGAGGGCTGGTATTGTGGTGAATTGGGTTAAACCTCTGCCTGTGATGGCAGCATCCCATATGGGCGCCGGTTTGAATGCCAGTTGCTCCACTTCTGATCCGGCTCCCTGCTAATGCACCTGGGAAAGCAGCGGAAGATGGTCCAAGTGCCTGAGTCCCTGTACCCACATGGGAGACTGGGATAAAGCTCCTGGCCTGGCTTCTGGCCCAGCCCTGGCAGTTGTGGCCATTTGGGAAGTGAAACAGTGGATGGAGGACTTTCTCTCTGTAAATTGGCCTTTCAAATAAATAAACAAATCTGTAAAGAGAAAAGGTTCTGGAGAGTGGTTCCACAACAAAGTGATTATATTTAATGTCACTAAACTCTACACTAAAAAAACAGTTAAGGTGGTAATTTTATGTGTATTTGACAGTAATTTAACATTTTTAATTTAAAAAAGGTTAAATGTAATTCCTATATAATAAGAAAGTAGGTAACAGATGATACAAATATAGATTATTATGGAGAAACTGTAATTTAGTAGCATTTTGTTTTACCATGTGGAAATTTATAAATTACATAGAAATAACATGATGTCTTTCATATTCAAAGATGTACCTTTCCTTCTCTCTTCCCTTCCCAGTCCCTATCCCTATAGGCAACTACTATTCTTGATTTCCATACACACTTCCAGAGGTATTCAGTGCATGTTTACTTTAAGCAAAAGCTTATACACCTCATCTGTTTTTTTTTAATAAGATTTATTTATTTATTTGAAAGGCAGAATTACAGAGATAGAAGGAGAGAGAGAGAGAGAGATCTTCTACCCTCTGGTTCATTCCAATTGGCCACAATGGCTGGGGCTGGGCCAGGCTGAAGCCAGAAGCCAAGAGCTTATTCCAGGCTTCCCATGTGGGTGCAGGGGCCCAAGCATTTGGGCTGTCTTCTACTGCTCTTCCTGGTGCATCAGCAGGGAGCTGGATTGGGAGTGGAGCACCCAGGAATAGAATCTGCATCCATATGGGATGCCAGTGTCATGTGCAGTGGCTCAACCAACTATAATATGATACTGGCCCCTAATCTGTTTTTAATATAAATGACAACAGACTCTACCCAGAGTACTAAATGTTCCTTTTGTCACTAAATGGTAGACACTGGAATTTATTCCATATGAGCTTGCAGCAGGTACACTGTTCGTCTACAATGTGACAGACTGGCCTCATAGATTGTGTTCTATTTACTGATACCTCTTATGATCCACATCACACATGGCTGGCTACACTTAGACCTAAGGAATAGAATTTTTTGCTTTTTAAAATGAAATTTGCCTCTTTGGAAGCCAAGTGACTGGTTTAACTAAATGACCTAGTTGATTCAGGGCAAAGATTACCTTAAAAGTAGCAAAGGCATCTGAGGCAATATCAAATGTTGACAACTCCACGTACTTAAAAAAATCTCGGAACTGATTGGAAAAGAGGATGATTTTGGCAAGCGGTTCATGTCGAATGCATTCTCTCAGCATAATCCCACAACGCAAGGCAATTTGTGGGGCTTCATATCTAGAGCACAAACGAGAGAAACAGAGAGCTCTATTATCTACTAACAAATAACATTAAAGGTAGCAAAAGGACCATATCACTACTGCTGTTATTAGAAATACAGATATCGTCTGTCACAGTTCATTCAAACACCATTTGTTCAACACCTACTGAATATCTACTTGTGTCTATTATAGATGCTGGGAACACAAAAATAAACAGGACAAGGTCTAGGCTTCATACCATAGTGAGAGCATGTCTTGTAGAGGGAGGAAGCAGAATATAACAATTGGAAGGCAGCTCCATATATCAAGAAGTGCTGTGAAAACTGAAGACAATGTAGCAGGCAATGTTACAGAGTGTGACTACTTAATTGTGCACAGGTGTGTGTGTGTGTGTGTGTGTGTGTGTGTGTGTGAATGATTGCTTAATTTACTTTACTTTAGATTGAAGGAAAGGAGCAAAGTTCCAGGCAAAGGGAACTCAGATGTGCAAAGGCTCTGAGGGAAGCACAAGCTTGGAGAACTAGAGAAGGAGGAATTAGGCCAAGTGTGACGAGATCACACAAGGAGAGCAGAGGGTGCTGTGAAATGAGGCAAGAATGGGGAGAAGGGACAACAGCCAGTTCATATACAACTTTGCACATCAACGTAAGCCAGCTTGGTTTTATTTTTTTATTATTTGAGAGAGGGAGTGTTAGAGAGTGTGTGTGCACCTATCCACCGGTTCATTCCCTAAGTGCCCCCAGTGGTTGGGGGTAGGCCAGACTGAGTTGGGAACTCAGCCCAGTTTGGTTTTATTTAATTAATTAATTAATTTTTTTAAAGATTTATTTATTTATTTGGAAGTCAAAGTTACACAGAGAGAGAAGGCAAGGCAGAGAGAGAGAGAGAGAAGTCTTCCATCTACTGGTTCACTCTCCAGTGATCTAAAAGCTCCCCTAGCTGATCCAAAGATAGGAGCCAGTAGCTTCTTCCGAGTCTCCCATGCTGGTACAGAGGCCCAAGGGCTTGGGCTTGGGCCATCTTCTACTGCTTTCTCAGGCCATAGCAGCAGCTGGGACTTGAACTGGAGCCCATGTGGGATGCCAGCACTGTAGGCGGTGGCTTTACCCACTACATCACAGCCCCGGGTTTGGTTTTATTTTAAGTGCAATGGGAAGCCTTTAGAGAGTTTAAAGCAAGAAATTAACATGGAATGCATGCTCTAAAGCGAGGGCTCTGACTACCTGTGGAGAATGCATTGTAAAGCAGTAAGGAATGGGCTAGGGAGCAAGAGTGGAAGCTGAGAGACTAGGTAAGAAGAGGAGCAGAAGTCCAGCAGATGATGATGGCTTGAGCAGGGGTGATGGTGGGAGAACAGAGGGCTTTGGGAAGATGGAGAGTCAGCAGGACTTACTGATGTTGTGGCTAGGACAGTGTGGGAATAAATTTGGAAGGTAAGGATTCAAAAATGATTCATGTTTTTGGCTTGAATAACTAGGTAGATAGGAAAGTCACTTAAGATGGATAAACTAATAAAGCAATAGGTTAATGAAGAAATTAAGAGCTTATTATTGACCATGTTAACATTGAGGTGGCTGAATCTAAGTAGTGAATGCCTGCAACAGCCAGGGATGGACCAGGCTAATGCCAGGCGCCCAGAACTCCATCCATCTAGGTCTTCCATGTGGGTGGCAGGGAACACAAGTACTTGAGCCATCATCTACTGCCTCCCAGGGTACACCTTAGCAGGAAGCTGGATGAGAAGCAGAGGAGCCAGGACTTGAATCCAGGCCCTCCAATATGGGATGCAGGCATTGAAAGCAGAAACTTAACTGCTCTGTCAAATACCTGTCCCTACAACCCAGCTCTATCAGTAAGATATTGTTGGCATATCTGTGGGCTTTGCACCCACAGATTCAACCACCCAGGAATTGAAAATACCTGAAAAAAGAACAACTGTCTATGTAGCATTTGCATTAAATTAGGTATTGTAAGTAATCTAGAGATGATAAAAGTGTAAGGGAGGATGTGCACAGGTTATAAGCAAACACTATGCGATTTTATATAAGAAAATTGAGCATCCACAGAGCTTGGTTTCTGTGCTAGGGGAGCCCTAGAACTCATCCCCTACAGATACCAAGAGTCAACTTCATTTGCAGAGTCTCATAGTTTGGCACTAAACCTAATTTTTTAAGTTTCATTTCTCATCACATTCCCTAGTTCCCTGTGGTATACTATTCCAACAGGAATGCTTTCTCATGTTGTAATATTAAGACTCTCTCATCTTTCAAGGTTTAGTTCCAATGCCACTTCCTCCTTCAAGCCTTTCCCAATATCCACCGTTCAGGATTATTCTTTCTTTCCTTCATGTCCTACAACAGCTTATCTGGTAATTTTGCTTTAGCCCTTTTTTCATTCTGTATTGTGTTACATTGCAATAAATTGTTACACATTTGTTTTCTTCACCTCACTACAAACAACCTAATTGCTGGGGACATGTTTACTTATTCTGTTCTCTTATCTTTTCCTCCCTAGCAAAATCTCCATTTGTAGGCTATCTCATATTGAATGTTATTTTTCCTCATCCTGACTCCAAGCTGCAAAGAGTGCCCAAGATAATGTTTTTCACAAAGTAGGCATACATAATGAATTTAATGGACCTCAAACTCCAATTAAATTTCATAATACTAGAGGACTCCAAGGAGAGTCAAACTGTGGAGATTCAAAAAGCTGTATGAACTCCAGCCAATGTTTTCTCATTTCTTAATTCAATTTCCAAACTGAAACCATCTATAAAAAGTTTCCATTCCAACTTTTGGGTATAATTAGTTCTCTTTTTTTCCTTTCATTTGGTTTAGTTTATTGGAACCATCTGTGGTGCAATGATAATTTATCCTTGAGAACCAAGAGAACATTTAAAAAAATACCCACTCTGAGGCAGAACATTTGTCATTTCACCCTGGTAGTTTGTCCCCAACAGTGGAAATGTCATTCCATGAGATGACAACTTCCTGAACTTAGGAATAATATACTGGGATAGTTAGGGGAATTCCTGATCTCCTTAGTACTCTTTAAGTGATCTGTAGTTCATATGTCTGAGTTCAGCCTGACTACCTTCTAGAAGATTGACTTTTGGTAGATTATTACTTATAAAGAAGTGATAAGCCTATTTTAAGTTTAAAATCTCACTAATATTAATATCCTCAGGTATGGTAAAGAATCAGTATTTATTTCGCTTAATCCATTCTATTTTTGGATGAGATTCCTGATGGCCTAAATCATGACTAATCACTCTGTTTCCCACAATGATTAACCTATGGCAGCTCATCAGGAAAGGTTAACCTAGAGAATGCTGAATTGTTCTTTTATAGAAGTGAATCATGTGTTCCTTCCTGATTTATAATCTGGGGCACATCGTCTGAGCTCTAATCAATTGTGTCAGTGTGGAGAAGGTACACTCCCATACAATGCATGCTCACTCAAATAAGGACAGCATATTTAAACATCTCTTTCACATTTAATGAAAGCCAAAATGTAACAGCAATTGTTTCAACTAGCAGGGAGCTATAGTATTCATTACAGAGAAAATAGCTAGAAAAAAGATTTATGCAAGAATGTCTCAATTTAAAAACAAAGATTATATTATGCGAAGGGGAAATGACTTTTGTTATTATTGCTAGAAGCAAACAATGATAGGCAGTTCTTGGAAAACTTTTGTAAAACACCATTCAACACTTGGCTTACTCAATATAGTCAAGACAATTTACTTATAATCTAGAAACAAGTGCTTCCTTTAGAAATAACGCTCTAACTCTGTTCACCAAAAAGGCATAGAAGAAATAACAACCCAATGTCAACAAGCACCTAAAGCATCTAGATTATAATTTCTAAGAACCATTCTTCACTAAAAAGAATCAGGCCCTTGGTGGAAATTCCCAGTTTGTGTGGCAAAATGTTAATTGGCAAAATGGTTACATTTTAAAACTAACAAAAAATAAACTTATACTTTAAAAAACAAAAAGAAATTCCAGAGTTGGATCTGGGATATCTTGTTACATAAGAAAGCAAAGACTCTCTCACAAATTATGTTGGGGATAAAAAGATATCACCCAGAAGGGGCTACAGACGGTCAACAGAGCACTCAGAAGGACAATGTGTGTCAAATAAGGGGCAGCACTGTGGCACAGTGGGTTACATTGTTGCTTGTGACACCAGCTGCCCATATGGAGTGCTGGTTTCTGTCCCAGCTACTCTGCTTCCGAACCAGCTTTCTGCTAATGGTTCTGGGAAGGGAGCTGATGATCCAAGTACTGTCATCCAAATGGGAGAAGCAGATGGAGTTTCTTACTCCTGGTTTCAGTTTGGCCCAGCCCTGGCTGTTGTAGACATTTGGGGAGAGAAACAGAGGACGGAAGACCTCTCTCTCTCTCTCTCTCTCTCTTTCTCTCTGTGTGTATTTCTCTGCTTTTCAAATAAATATACTTTTTTAAAAAGAAAGCTATTCTTTATAAAACCACGCTAGCCAATAAAAATACAAGAAATGGCAAAATCTGGAAATTACCTTTTTCCTAACTCCTAATGAAATGATAAAATGAGGCAGAAACAGATGGTAAAACAAGTCTAAGATTGATGGGAAACTTTATAATGGATTACACTGTCACCAACTGAACCCACTGCTCAACCAAACACTATTAGAAGTATATTTCCTGGCCAGTGTAGTGGGTTAGGCTGCTGGCTATGATGCAGACATCCCATACTAGCACCAGTTTCAGTCCTGACTGCTCTCTTCTGATCCAGTTCCCTTCTCAGGTACCTGGTGGGAGATAGTTCACGTGTTTGGGCCCCTGTACCCATATGGGAAACCAGGATGGAGTTCCTGGCTCCTGGTTGTAGCCTGACCCAACCCTTGCTTGCGGCAAACATCTGGAGAACGAACCAGCAGGATGGAAGATTTCTCTCTTTTCTGCTTTGCCTTTCAAATAAGTAAACAAATATATATATATATATATATATATATATATATATATATATCTTCTAATGCAATAAAATATGAACCAGATAGCACCACCTACAAAAACTAAACTGAGCTAGAATCTAATCAAGTCTTTAAATATAACCTCTAGTCTAGAAACACAGGAGAGAAGGAAACAAGTAAAAATGACAAGATGGGAAAGCAATGTGACAACTCCAGAATGGAAGAAATTCTGTAGGGAAAACAATTTAGCTTCTCAACAATTCAATAGCATAAAAATGTGTGAGGGGAGTGCTGTTCTAAATAAAAAGGAACTTACATTACAACCAAACATAGCTAAGTGGACTTTGTTAGGGTCCTTATTTGAACAAACCAACTATGAATTTCAATACAGAGGCAATCAAGGAAATCTGAATATGGACTAGGTTATTAGTTCACAAAGAATGACTGTTAATTTTTTTAATGTACAATAATGACATTGTGGATATGTGAGAATTATCTTTTCATTTTGGAGATGCTTACTAAAGTATTTAGGAATCTGCTTTAAAATACTCTGGGGAGGGTGTTGTTGGGGATATAGCTGAAACAAACACAGCAAAACACTGATGGTTGTTCAAGTTGTGTGATGGGGTACATGCGATTTCTTTTGTCTTTATATGTTTGCATAGGGTTGCAAATTTTTGCACTAAGCTTTTAAAAACTAAAATTACTGGAAGAAACTTCTGATGTTAACATTTGACTTGTGGAACATTTTCCACTGGCTACAACTCTTCATGGGTCAACAGGAATAGTTGATGACCTCATTTGCAGGTTCTCTCATTCCAAGCCCTGGAAGAAAATCCGCCTGTGCCAGAAGAAAAATCTGCTTAAGAGTGAGAAAGTCCTTATTTATGATCTTTTCATACAATTTGGGTTCCAAATTGTTTCCACCAGTTTTGTATCTCATATCCAGATGACTCACTTTGATAGATAAGTATCAATTTCTGCCTTACATTCCTTTTTCTTAGGATTTGGGTTCAACATAGCATATTACCATAATATCTTTAAATAATCATTGTTGTTTCAAGTATAAATGTATCAATCACATTATGTCCTAAGCTTGCAGGTAATTTCACAGGGGCTAAGTCTCTAGGATTCCCTGCCAGATTAAAAAATAGTAACAGGGAAACTGATTATGGCACAACTGTTTCTGGTGGGGATTGCCTGTCTTGTCCTCAGAAGCATGACAATTCCCTTCCCTTCACATATGAAGGGCCCTCAAGTCTTCTTAAGAATATATTAATTGGGGGGGGGGGCGGCGCTGTGGCCCAGTAGGTTAATCTCTGCCTGCAGCGCTAGCATCCCATATGGGCGCAGGTTCCAGTCCCGGCTACTTCTCTTCAAATCCAACTCTCTGCTGTGGCCTGGGAAAGTAGTAGAAGATGGCCCAGGCCCTTGGGCCCCTGCACCGACGTGGGGGACTGGGAAGAAATACCTGGCTCCTGGCTTCAGCGCAGCTCCGACCGTTGTGGCCACTGGGGAGTGAACCAACGGACGGAAGACCTTTCTCTCTGTTTCTCCTCCTGTCTATAACTCTACCTCTTAAATAAATGCATAAAATCTTTAAAAAAAATTCATAATAAAAGAGAATATATTAATGGGGGCCTGCACTGTGGCATAAGGGGTAAAGCCACCGCCTGCAGTGCCAGCATCCCATATGGGTGCAAATTCAAGTCCCAGCTCCTTCACTTCCCATCCAGCTCTCTGCTATGGCCCAGGAAAGCAGTGGAAAATGGCCCAAGTCTTTGGGCCCCTGCACCCACATGGGAGACCCAGAAGAAGCTCCTGGCTCCTGGTTTCAGATTGGCACAAGTTCTGGCCGTTGTGACCAACTGGGGAGTGAACCAGTAGAGGGAAGATCTCTCTCTGTCTCTCCTTCTTTCCCTGTGTAACTCTGACTTTCAAGGAAATAAATAAATCTTTTAGAAAAATGATAGTACAGAAAAGATAATAATCCAAGGATTGTATTAACTGGCTTGATTTCAGGTTTATTTTGGCTTTCTAATGGTCCCATATACACAAAGTAGTATTGATCCTAACCCTATATAGAAAACATCACTTTGGGAGTTTGCAGGTACGAGAAGAATTTTTATACCTATATTTGAGTTCTCAGATATAGAATACGTATGTGTGTTTTTGTATATGTGCATGTGTGTGTGTGTGTGTGTGTGTAGTGAAAAGATTCAGTCTCATACAAGCAAAAAAAAAGGTAACTGGGCAGCTAGGAAGAGGGCAGACAAGGAAACTCAAGCACTATTGTACAGGAAGAGACTGGAGGCACAGATGTGGGAAAAGAGAGGCAGTAACTGGAAACAGAACGTGTAGAAACCTAAAGTGCCAACAGCTCCAAAAGGGAACACATTTGTCGGCCGTGAACGCTATGTACTTTCAAGAACAACTTTAAACTCCACCCTCCTGTACAGGCAGACAGGAACCTACCCTCTGAGGAGCATGAACAGGATGTGAGGATGAGCACTGATGTACTCCACGGTAGGGCTCCGAGTACCGATCTGTCTTCTCAGGATGTTGTTAAATATCTGGGTCACATCTTTTTTTCCCTGTTCAACAGCATTAAATTATATACTTTAAATTGGTGAATAGATGGTATATGAAATACACACACACACACATATACACAAGCAGAAACAGTTGTACCTTTTATAGTAAGTGGTGTTACATTAATACCAGGGTATTTCAAAAGCTCTTGGAAAATGCATATTATATAAAAACTAAACATGGATTTCAAAGTATTTTACACCAAAATAAACTCATCTTTTAATTCCACTTTCCATGAACTTTTTGAAGTACCCTCATACAATATACATCAATTTACTCTGTCTATCTCTAACAAGCTATGCTTTCAAACACAAAGCTACCAAATGGAGGCAGCTCCTTGTCACAGGATCTGCACTGTGGGAAACAGGCCCAGATGGGAATCTGTGTCTTATATCAGTAAACACATTGCCTCAGAGGATACAACACAGGAGCGACTGTAACAGAACTGAATTCTTCATGTTTTGTTTCCTTTTGGCTTTATTCATGAAGAAATTATGAGTAGCATTTTTAAGCTTTCATAAATAAAGAAGGAGAACAGATTAAGGAAATAAAGTTAAGAATTTAGCAAAATGTAGATTAGAATCAAATTCTTTTTCAGTAATAAAAAAAGAACAAATTATAAATACATGCAACAACTTGAATGAATCTTGAGGAATGACACTGGTAAAGTCAATTTGAAAAGGTTGCATACTGGATGGTTTTACTTCTATAGCATTCTTGAAATGAAAAAATTGTGGAAATGCAGAACAGACGAGTGGTTGACAGAAGTCAGAGATGGGGTGGTGATGGCAGTCAGGTGGGTGTGACTATAAAAGGGCAACAGGAAAGGGATCTGTACCCCTGCCCTGCATATTTTTTATTCTTTTTTCTATTTTCTCTGTAGACTGGCTTCTTCTGCTGCTTAAGTCCCCATGGTGGAAAACGTGGCACTGGTCAGATGCCCAGGGGTTGGCCAATCAGCTATGTGTTGGGCAGAGTATCACATCACCCAAAAAACTGGTTGTTTCCACTGCACCCGTGTGGATGAAAAGGGGAGAGCATTTTCTAGAAAGCAGAGGGACTGGACAGACACAACATTTTGTATATTACATAGTCTTTTCTTAAAAAATTTTTATTTTATTTACTTGAGAAGTAGAGTTACAGACAGAGAGAGGGAGAGAGAGAGAGGTCTTCCATCCTCTGGTTCACTCTCCAAATAGCCATGGCCATAACGGCCGAAGCTGGGCTGATCCAGAGCCAGGAGCCAGGAACTTCTTCCAGGACTTCCATGTGGGTACAGGGGCCCAAGCACTTGGGACATCTTCCACTGCTTTCCCAGTCCATAGCAGAGAGGCGGATCAGAAGTGGAGCACCCGGGACTCAATCTGGTGCCCTTATGGGATGCCAGCATCACAGGTGGAGGCTTGGACCACTATACAACAGCACCAGTCCCAATTGCATAGTCTTTATCCTTAGAACAAATTATATTCCTTAAAAAGTATGGCAAGGTCAAATTAAAATAGTCTTTGTCTGAATTTTATTACAACATGCTTCTCGGGCCTGGTGTTGTACAATAGGTTAAGATGCCACCTGCAACGTCAGCACCCACCGTGGGCACCAGTTAGGGTCCTAGCTGCTCTACTTCCAATCCAGCTCCCTGCTAATGTGCCTGGGAAAGCAGTGAAAGATGGCCTAAGTACCTGAGCTGCTGCTACCCACATATGAGACCCAGGTGGAATTCTAGGCGCCTGGCTTCCTATTGGGCCATCCCTGGTTGTTGCAGCCATTTGGGGGAGTAAACCAGCATTTGGAAGCTCTCTCTGTTTCTCCCTTCCAATCTGTCACTATTTTTAAAATGAAAAAAAAAAAAAAAAAATTAATCTGAAAACAAACAAAAGAGCCTGAGGCCAAATCGTATTTTTAAGTATCCATAAATTAGGTACCTCTATTGGAAGGAAGGCTTTTTTTTTTTTTTTTTTTTTTGACAGGCAGAGTGGACAGTGAGAGAGAGAGACAGAAAGGTCTTCCTGGCCTGCGCCGGGGCTCACTAGGCTAATCCTCCGCCTTGCGGCGCCGGCACACCGGGTTCTAGTCCCGGTCGGGGCGCCGGATTCTGTCCCGGTTGCTCCTCTTCCAGGCCAGCTCTCTGGTGTGGCCAGGGAGTGCAGTGGAGGATGGCCCAAGTGCTTGGGCCCTGCACCCCATGGGAGACCAGGAGAAGCACCTGGCTCCTGCCTTCGGATCAGCGCGGTGCGCTGGCCACCGCGGCCAGCGGAGGGTGAACCAACGGCAAAGGAAGACCTTTCTCTCTGTCTCTCTCTCTCACTGTCCACTCTGCCTGTCAAAAAAAAAAAAAAAAATTAAAAAAAAAAAAAAGAAAGGTCTTCCTTTGCCGTTGGTTCACCCTCCAATGGCCACCACAGCCGCACTGATCCGTTGGCAGGAGCCAGGCACTTATCCTGGTCTCCCATGGGGTGCAGGGCCCAAGCACTTGGGCATCCTCCACTGCACTCCCTGGCCACACCAGAGAGCTGGCCTGGAAGAGGGGCAACCGGGACAGAATCCGGTGCCCCGACCGGGACTAGAACCCGGTGTGCCGGCGCCGCAAGGCGGAGGATTAGCCTAGTGAGCCGCGGCACCGGCCCAGGAAGGCTTCTAAAGCTTATCATCATTAATTTTAAGAGGGCAATAGGGTAACAGTAACCCCATTTACTGTGATATAGTATTTCCCCATCTGAGACTGTAAATTCTTTAATCCATCTGCTGACAGGCATGAAATAGATAAATGACCAAACTGAATCAATGTCGTACACACAAATTAACATTTCAAATTGCTAAATGTGGATGTGAGGGCGATCTGGCTGCGACATCTGTCACCCCATTGATCGCCAGGGTTGATTCGGCTGATCTGGCTGGCTAGGCGGGTGTCCCCTTCCTCCCTCACTGCTCCATGTGCGTCCCTCCCGAAGCTGCGCGCTCGGTCGAAGAGGACGACCATCCCCGCTAGAGGAGGACCGGTCTTCGGTCAAGGGTATACGAGTAGCTGCGCTCCCCTGCTAGAACCTCCAAACAAGCTCTCAAATTGCTAAATGTGGGAAGTACAAAGATTATATCCTAAGGCTTTATGATTTTCCTCATTTTTATAGTAATAAGGCCAAAAGTAAAGGACTACTCAAATCAGCTCTAGGCAACAGAAAAAGATTTTCAGAAGATAAAAATTTTTAAAACTTAGAACTATAAAATGGCTAATTGAGACTCAAGCTGATCCTGGAGTGTCTGTTTTGCTGATTTTTTTTAATAGCAAGAAACTAACCCTCAGAGATTAAGGAACCACAGCAGAAAGTTTTGTCTTTGAGCTGCTTTTTTCTTAGCCCAGGCAGTTGACTGTATCCATCCCAGTTCTGCAAGGCACACCTGCCTTTAAGATGAATGCTTCCACTCTTAGATGTAACACAGTTTTCATCCTTTGATTTCTTATCACGTTGTGTTTCAAAACATCAAAGATTCTAAAGTTGTGTCCTGAAGAGGGGCCAAACCTCAAAAAACACAGCTCTGAGTTTGATCCTGAGCCCACAAAATCAGAAGTCTTACAATCTCAGCCACAAGCCTTTTTTTTTTTTAAACCGCATAATAATAATGCTGACATGGTTTTTTTCTGTTAGCAATTTTAAGGCTTAAAGGATTAGATAAAAATGTATGGCTAAGTATTGAGTTTGTTTTTGTTTTTGTTTTTGTTTTTTAACTCAGAGGTCTGACTCCTAACTAGCCATTATTCCTATGATAGTAGGATCTTCCCTTACTGTCCCTACCTCAATGGGCCACAGTTGTCTGGATTCCTGAAGGAGAAATGGGCTTGGCACACAGATCCCAGAGTTAGTCCCAGCTGCCCTGTCGAAATCATTGCCTTCAGTGCCCATCACTGCTGTTGGTTCAGGGTTCAAATCCCTGCTCCTCACTCCTTCAACCCCTATTCACTTCCTGCCTTCTACAGCTGCTCATTTTCTCAACCCCTGTTTATCCCAAGTGTAGAAAACCATCCCTCCCTTCGCCTTCACTCAACATACACCATCAGCACATCGGTAGCTCTTTTATCATTGGTTCAATGGTAACAACCGGTAATTACAGCACACGAGGCAGAAGCAACTTCACACTGACTTCTATCATCAGAGGCTGCTCTGTTTCCTGACCATCTTTCTTCTCAAGCTCCTTCCTTTTCTCGTGATTCTGGAGTCTTCTCTTCTGCTTGCTCCAAACCTTTCTCCTATCTCTCCTCTATTTCCTATTACTGTCAACGTTAGCCATCGAAGGCATTTGCCAAATGTTTGTTGCTTGACTCCGCAAAAGGAATTTAATCTCTTTTTCTGGCTGTCTTTTTCTTCCAGATATTGCTTAGAAACTCCAACCTTTCACAACAACAGAAAACCCCCCCGAGGTGTCTTCTACACAAAAGTTCAGTTTTTCTCTGTAAGCAATGTTCCATCCTCCTAGGCTATCTGGTGAAGCTACAGTCCACCTCTAAAAGAACAACTTTTCCTTCTTGTTATAAAACATACCAGTCACATGACCGTTGTGCTCATCAGTGAAGCACCATGAGACGATTCACTTGTAGAAATGCCAGGACCACTACTCCAAGTACTATGGATGTCTTCTAAACAACCTACTAATTCCTCAAGAAAAATGGTTTACTGGTATGTCTCAGGACTCCTTTTGACTCAATTCTTTCACCTTTGCTTTGACCTCTCATTCTCATTACTAGATTCATTCAATCAATCATCCAGCCAACTGACCAACCAACCAGCGTGCTGCTAGGTGTAGCTGACACAATCCTGGTACTCAAGGTACTCTTAATAGGAAACGGGCTGTCCCAGTGTTACCTATGAGCCAAGAGATGTGGGAGTGAGGGTTTTGAGTAGCTAGAAAAAGTTGCTAAATTAGGAAGAATTATGTCAAGCTGTCACTATTTGGGCCTGAGAAACTGCTGATCATCCATGCCTCTAGTTCAGTGATACAGAGCCGCTTCTGC